CAGTCCTTGTAGAGGTGTTTTATGAGGTAGTCGTGGTTGGTGCACGGGCTCTCCATGAGCTCGTGGAAGTGGCCCGGAGGGTCCTGCTGGGGTTGCGTGCCCACATGATCAGCCGTGGCGACCAGCGCAGAGTTGGCCGGTTGGCGGTGATTCTTTCTGTTCTTTCCCCCCTCTATGTGGAGGGGCCCTCGTCCTGATCCTGGCACTTGGCCTTGCCCTTGCCCCGGCCTCCGTTGGAGCGCGGCGGGAGCGGCGTTGTTGGAGGTTTTGGACAAAGGTCCACGGTCCCGGACCATCAGGGCTGGGACTCTGGTCGCTGATGCATGTGTCTCGGTTCGGTCCGAGCCGTGCGTATACAAGCGGTTGGTGCGGAGCGGTTGTCAAGTCAAGACGAGGTGCCAATGCGGCCTCCTGTGCCGCGCTCGGTGATTGTAGCGGCGATCGGGTGGAGCGACCCATCTGCTGCTTCCTCGTTCCCCTGATAGGGAGCGAGGCCACGAGTCGGCGTCACGATATGGAGCACTCCGCTTGTTGAACGGTGGCGGTCTCCACTAGTGCCCGAAGGTTCTGGTGGATTGCCTGTTCATGAGGGTCATTCGGCTCGGATAGGCTGCGCAGAAGCATTGCCGCCGCGGCGATGTTCTGATTGGCCCGAGCGAACTACGGGGGGTCGTTCCCCCTGTCTATGGTGTTGTGCTAGACCCGATGGGCGTGACCCCAGGCGCCGCTTGTCGGTCTACGTGCACGGGGCGCAACGTGGTGCGCAGAGCGCGCTGGCGCAGTCGGTGGCTGATGTAGCCACCGTTGTCATAGTTCCTCCCTGTGCTCACGTGCGAGCTCGAGGGGTCTCCGCATGAGGGTCCGGAGTTGCATGAGTCTGCAAGGACTTTGTTACCCCAGGCGGCTGTCCTAGAGCGTCCGCCATAGCGCACTCCCGGGACGGACGGTGGCTAGGTGCCATGTCGCCGATGTTGGAGCCGTCACTCCCGACGTCGTCATCCATGAGGTCGAGGAAACAGGTGGGAGCGTAGCTTGCCATCCCCACAAATTTAGACGTGAGAGGGGGTGGTGCCGGCGTCTTTTGGAGCCCCCGGGCGTACACGTCCACGTGGGACACGAGGCCATAGGGGAACCAGCCATATGGCAGCCGCGACGGGGACAACAGCATTCCTCCCGGGTAATTGGCGGAAGATAGAAAATAGCAAGTAAATAACAACATGTACATTACTTACAACGGGGTTTGAGCAGAGAGTTTGCTCGGAAAGAAGCGTAGATGCCTCGTCGTCGAAGTCATGCATCCCGGAGTTGATGGAGGGCGCCCCTCCGACGGGTGCCGGGACATGAGCCTCCTCACAGAGGTGTAGTACGCCAAGCCGGTCGGCAACGAAGTCTAGGTTTCTGAAGAGGAAGACCTAGAATGGCTCAAAGACGGGGGGAGCCCACATCCCAACAGGTGAGAGTGCGGGAAACTTTAGCGAGCCGAAGCGAATCGTATCGCCCGAGCCCGCCACGGCGAGGGTGGCGAAAAAGTGGGTCATCCGATGACCAAAAAGTGTTGAACGTACAGCGTCTTCCCCACGGACGGCGTGAACTGTCGGTACAGAAAGTAACGAACTAGTAGATATTTGTAGTTTTGCCGTACGTTGTGATCGGAGGTGGCCTAGCACTCGATGACACAGGGTTTATACTGGTTCAGGCAACGTGCCCTACGTCCAGTTTGGGTCGGTCAGTGACTTTATTCCTGAGCCCAGGTGCTCGAAGTTTGTAGTGGGGTTACAAACGATAAGGAGAAAGATGGGATGTACAAGAGGTCCGGTCGGCTCTGGTCGGAAGGGTCGAGAGCGACAGGAGCTACGCTATGAGCTAAGTTTTCAAGCGTGTGCTTGGGGTTCGAACCCGGTGGTTCTGTGGTCGTTAGCTAGTGAACTTGATCGATGTTGGTTAACTAAAAAGACTCTTCTTCGTTTGGAGGGAGCGCATCCCCTTTTATAGATAAAGGGGGTGGCTTTACAAGTGAGAGGGTGAGGGTGCGTATGCTACTGGGCTTTATTGCCCATGCCGGCGGGTACAAGATAATGGTAGACGCCCACAACACTGTTGATGTCACTGTAGAATGTTAGATGCATGTGGGAGGTTACGTTGCCTTCTTCAGGAATGGCAGATGTCGGTATCTGCAAATACTGTTGATGCCTAGAGGCATGTGATTTCACCACGTTCACCCGGTACGGTAAATCTCGGTGCCCACAACACTATCGATGCTCAGAGGCATGTGAGGGGTCTTACCGTATGGGAGTTAATGGCGCCCACAATACTGTAGAGGGAAATGTCGGCGTCTATAATACTATTTGTGTTTGGGCGGTTGTAGAGTACTATTCCTGCAGGCGTACAGGGTATGGTCCCTGGTATCGTGGTTTGACTTATGCGCCCTAGCTTGCTTTCTCCGCTTGTCTCTTGGTCCTTTCCGAGCGGGCGTCCCCGGTCGGATGGCCCCAGTCGGATCTGGTTGCGTCAGTCGGAGAAGAGCGGTGAGCAGGGTTTCTGCGAACCCCGGTCGGAGATGCGGGATCGGAGTCGGAAGTAGTGCTTGGGCCAGGCCTTCCGATCGGAGAGGCCGTCCGGAGGCGGTGGAGTCCGAAGTGAGCGCTTCGGTCGGAGAGGTGGGCCGAAGTAGTCGACGAGCGGGCGCTGTTCCTCTTCGGCCAGACCTTCCGGTCGGTGACTGGACCGCCCTTTCGGCCTGTTGTTTTAGACTCTTGGGCCGTCCCACGAGTTACGTGCTGTCTGCTTGGGCTGGGCCTTGGCGTGGAAGCCGGTCCCCGAGGGACCCCAGGTTTATGAACCCGACAGCGAGGGTGTTACAGTAAATTACCCCTATTGACATTTGCTCTATTGCTTCTCATAAACCTAAGTTAGGGGGGTGGGGAGTGTTGAGGGGCCACCTAAGTTTTGTACCGGTGGACATCCGAACAATGGAAAAGTCTTATTTCTTGCTCCGTCTGTGACCGCCAACATGAAACCTAATCAGATTTTAAGAAAATATTTACTGATTGCAGCAAGGCATTGAACTGTAGTAGAAGAGATGCAAGAAGGCGCGAGCATACATGTCTCTAGTCTGGGCACTTGTTCGCTCCGTGCACTAATATCTAGGCTGTCTAGATACATAGCAAGAATTACGAATCTAAAGTGAAAGTTACTTATAATTTAAAATAGAAGAAGTATTATATAGGGTAATTAAAAATGGTAATACGCTACTTTGGACACTTGCCATTGCTCCTGTGCCATCCACATCACGCATGACACGAGGATCACAGTATCCTCCACGCAGTACTGGTTTGATCAGTGTCACGTTTCATGTCTCTCCTTTTTGGTAGCGTGGGATTTCATTTTCTTATAAACCCTACGTTTTCCGCGTGACATCGAGTTAATTCTTGTGACATCTCTCGTCTCTGGGCCGGTTCGCTCGAACGAATTTGGGAAGAATTTTGATAGTTCGGAGAAATGCCGAAGAAATTTGTAAGAAAAAAATACTGTTCTGAATAAAACAAGAAACGGATCAAAGCCGAATTTAAGAGCACGCGAGCGGGGCGTCTGCCTGCGTTTCACGGCTCCGTTAGCGCGGGGTGTGGCTGTTTCGTGGAGCCGAGCGCGCCCTGCCTGCCCGCCACCACGGCGCGACCGCGGGAGCTTTGTTTTGGCCATGGTTTTTCCTCGGGTCGGACCAGCGCGGCGCACGAGGGCCCCACGGATTAAACAACCCCAGCAACCGCGGAGACCGCCGGCTAGGCAGCAGACGGCTCGGAGAGCGTGCTGCGTGCGCGCCCGTGGGGGGAGTTGAGCCGCGCTTTTGGGGTCCGCGAGGGAAGCCGACGACGGCGGGGCATTTTGGCGGGTGCCGCTACCCAGTGCCCACCCCACAATCCTCAATAGCGAAATTACAGCTTCTCCAGAGGACCAAGGACAGAGAAAAGACACTACCATCCCCCCACTGCACTGCTGCCCGCCTCCACTCTCCACTCCCCTCTTCTCCTCCGCCGCCGCCCCACAGCCACAGCGGCAGCTGCCGGGAACCAAACCCATCCACCCCTAGCAAGCTAGGGTTAGGGTTCCGCCGCGGCTGCCGTCTTCCCCAGGGCTCCTCCTGCCGTGCCGGCCCCCCATTGCATTCCCCTGCAAGCCCCCATTATTATTCTTTCTTTCTTCCACCCATTCCTTCCCTTCCCTCTCCACCCTGCTGCTCCAGTGCGGTGCTGCTGGTGAGCGGTGGCTCCTGCCCGGTCTCGTTGCAAGGTAACCGCACTACCCCCCTGCTCTTCTTGCTTGCATTCGCGTCCGCGTCCGCATTGCATCTGGAGACCGGAGTGTTCTTCCGTGTTTGATGTTTGGACGCATTCGCCGTGCGAGTGGTAGGTACTACTAAAAGTGCGCGTCCTTTCGAGCTGCGTTTTAATGGATGGTTCCGCCCGCGGTTGGTGGCTGTTTCAGCGGCCAAAGCCACCACTTTTACCGCCGTGCTTGTTGAGGGATTAATAAAGCCGTGGGTTTTTTCTGCTCAACTCAAAGATGAATTTTATTTTGTCAGAAACAAAGTCGTTTTTTTTGTCTATTTATGCTACATTTTTTGTTTTTTCTTTCTTTGAGGATTTAATATGCTAGATTTTTTTTTACTGCCGGGCCTCTTCTCTGAGCTCAAAGATTCGGTCTATCAGGGGTTTGTTCAAGCTGGAATCTGTGCGTGAGTTGACATTTTGGTGCTCGTTTCAGGTTTAAAGGAGCTGAAACATAGGAATCTGGGGGCTTATGTCCATACTGGCTGCTGCGGAGATCAGGTGAAAGGGACAAGTGTTGTGGCTGGGCTATGAGTACCACACCAGCTCTCTGATAGCTACGCACGCTCGCTCCAACTCCAATCTCCTCCAAGAAATGCGTCAGCTGCCGCGCTCTTGAATCCTACCAGCAAGCTCCCAGCCTCCCGACCAATCCGTGGAGGAAGAAAGTGAGTGATGGGGCTTCTTGGGGGTCTCCTGGTGCTGCTCCTGCTTGCTGTCTCCCCCGCGCTCGGCCAGCTGCCTTCGCAGGACATCCTGGCGCTGCTGGCCTTCAAGAAGGGCATCACGCACGACCCCACCGGCTACATCACCGACTCCTGGAACGAGGAGTCCATCGACTTCAACGGGTGCCCGGCGTCCTGGAACGGCGTCGTGTGCAACGGCGCCAGCGTGGCGGGGGTCGTGCTCGACGGCCACGGCATCTCGGGCGTCGCCGATCTCTCCGTGTTCGCCAACCTCACATTGCTCGTGAAGCTCTCTGTGGCCAACAACAACCTCTCGGGCAGCCTCCCGAGCAATGTGGGCAGCCTGAAGAGCCTCAAGTTCATGGATGTCTCCAACAACCGGTTCTCGGGGCCGGTGCCGGAAGGTATCGGCAATCTCCGCAGCCTGCAGAACTTGTCGCTTGCTGGGAACAACTTCTCGGGGCCGCTGCCTGAGTCCATCGACGGGCTTATGTCGCTGCAATCGCTGGATGTGAGCCGCAACTCTTTGTCTGGCCCGTTGCCTGCGGCTTTGAAAGGGCTGAAGAGCTTGGTTGCGCTGAACGTGTCCTATAATGCCTTCACAAAGGGTATTCCTTCTGGGCTTGGACTCCTTGTGAAGCTTCAGTCTTTGGATCTGAGCTGGAACCAGTTGGAGGGTGGAGTTGATTGGAAGTTCTTGATCGAGTCAGCTGTTGCTCATGTTGACTTCAGTGGGAACCTGCTCACCAGTACTACGCCCAAAGAGCTCAAGTTTCTAGCGGATATTTCAGAGACGGTTCTGTATCTGAACCTGAGCAACAACAAGCTGACTGGATCATTGATAGATGGTGTTGAGCTCTCTACTTTTGGGAGACTGAAGGTGCTTGATCTGAGCAACAATCAGTTATCTGGTGACCTCCCAGGCTTCAATTATGTTTATGATCTTGAAGTTTTGCGACTTGCAAACAATGCATTCACTGGATTTGTGCCTAGTGGGCTTCTCAAAGGTGATTCTCTGGTCCTAAGCGAGCTGGACCTAAGTGCTAATAACCTGACAGGTACTAACTCTACTTCACAATCGTTCTTTCAGCCCTCTTCCTTTTTGCTGAATGCCATACATCATGAAGATTATTGAGATCGATGTCTTTTCTCTGCACAATATCGAGCACAAAAGTTGCCTTGGTCAACACAACTTGTGAAAACATCAACCATTAATTCTGATATAGCACTTTGCGTTTCTGATCCTTTATCATGTCTTATTTATCCAATCTAAATGACTGTTTGACCTGCTAGTTACAAAAACAAAAGAACTGAACGATATATGTTGAGTTTGCAAGAATAGAGTTTAAAGTAGTGTTAGTCCATACAACTTGTGAAAGAACTAGCCATCTTGCCTATTGGTTGGCTTTAAAGTAGTGTTAGTCCATACAACTTGTGAAAAAAAATATCAAGCATAAATTCTCATCTAGCACCGTGTATTGTTGTATACAAATGATGATTTGAATTGCTGATTACCCAATAATATGAACTGAATGCTATGTGCTTGAGTCTGCACCAGTTAGCTATTCTGTTTTGCCCCTTAGGTAAGTTCTATATAGAGCTTTCATTCAGTATAGATTTTTTTTTTGGTGCAAATGTGTACTCATAATGTTCCCTACTGTGCCATTGCCTAAAATTTATTAATTTTGTCCAGTGCAACTAATGTGTTGGTCCTCGTTCAAAAATTCGCTGATAACAAACTTGATATTGTAGTTATACATGCAGAGAGGCTGACTGGTTAATGCAGTAGCTTGAGTTAGCATTTATAAAGGAAAGGAGATAAAACAACAGCCAACACAAATAAAAAAATTCTATGAAGTGGAAACGAGTACTGGATTTGTGGGCATGTATCCTGATGGCAAGATTTCTCAATGATAGAAGCAGATAATGCAGCGGACACAATATACTAATGTCACGTCCAGTTAAACTGCACCATGAATTTGTGTTTTGTTACGGCATAAGTAATACGTAAATGTGAGATGTAATTGTTTTATTTACCCTCTTCTGTACTAATTGATTACAGTTGCAATGCAATGCATCTCCACCATTCTTGTTATAGTACCTTACAGTACTCTAAGCTTCTCAAAATTAGTACCCTGCCTGGCCTACAGAGTAAAGAACTAGGACATCTTGCCATGTGGTTGGCTTTAAATGTTGTGGACTCCTTTCTGATACAATAAGCAACAAGACTAGCAGCTCCAGCTGTATAAACTATGATTGAATTGAACCAGTGCATTTCATGCTATGGTAATGATACCTGAGGTCGCACGAATCATTGGCTTCCTTTGAGTAAAAGTAATGGCTAGCCCCCAGAATCAGTACATTAGCAAATACTGTTAAGTGTGCTAATGCATTCACAGTGTTTGCATATTTCCTTTCCTATGATGGCATTCTCTAATGATGATAGTATGAGAACCACTCATTTCTTATCTTTTGTACTAATTGTATTTACTTTATTATGCAGGGCATATCAATATGATCACATCAACTACTTTGCAAGTCCTTAACCTGTCCTCGAATGCTCTTTTTGGGGATCTTCCATTGCTTGCTGGGAGCTGCACTGTGTTAGATCTTTCAAACAACAAGTTCAGAGGAAATTTGTCAGTTATTGCCAAATGGGCCAGCGATCTGGAATATGTTGACCTTAGTCAGAACAACCTAACTGGTACAATTCCTGATGTGAGCTCACAGTTCCTTCGTCTAAACTACCTAAATCTTTCCCGCAATGCTCTATCTGAGACCATCCCTGAAGCTATTGTTCAGTACCCCAAACTTACTGTGCTTGACCTAAGCTCCAATCAGTTGCGTGGTCCTATGCCTGCTGATTTGCTAACTTCGTCCATGCTGCAAGAACTCTACATTCAAGATAACATGCTTTCTGGTGTCCTATCCTTTCCTGGTTCGCCATCCAAAAATTTGAGTCTTCAAGTGCTTGATATTTCTGGGAATCACTTCAATGGAAGCCTCCCTGATGATATTGCCTCCTTATCTAGCCTTGAGTTCTTGACGTTTCAACAAACAATTTCTCTGGTCCATTACCTGCCGCTGTGAGTAAGCTTGGGGCTCTTACTGATATTGATATATCAACGAATCAGTTCACTGGGCCATTGCCTGAGGATCTTCCAGATAACCTCCTATCCTTCAATGCATCCTATAATGACCTTTCTGGTGTTGTGCCAGAGAACTTGAGGAAGTTTCCAGAATCTTCTTTCCATCCTGGGAACTCAAAATTGGAGTATCCTGCTGGCTCGTCTGGATCTGGCAATTCCCCATCTGGGTCAGGAGGGGGAAAATCACTCAGTACAGGTGCTAAAGTAGCAATTGTAGCAGCTAGCATTGTTGTTCTTGTCATCCTTATACTTATTGCTATTGTATGCCACTACAAGCGAATCTCACGGCAGTTTCTAGCTCTGAAAAGGTTTCAGACAAGAGCCTCCACAGAGCAACTAAAGACAGTGCTGTTATGAAAGGAAAAGACAACAAAGGTGGTTTGGTCTCAGCTGATGAGCTTGTTACTCCTCGAAAAGGCTCTACATCTGAAGCACTTAGCCAAGAAGAGAAGTCAGCCACAGGGGGCTTTTCACCGTCTAAGGGCAGCCGCTTCTCTTGGTCACCAGATTCCGGAGAGGCATATGGTCAGGAAGGATTGGCGCGGTTGGATGTGAGATCACCTGACAGGCTAGCAGGGGAGTTGCATTTCCTGGACGAAACAATCACACTAACGCCAGAGGAACTTTCAAGGGCACCAGCTGAAGTTCTAGGCAGGAGCAGCCATGGGACTTCATACAGGGCGACACTGGAGAATGGTGTGTTCCTGACTGTGAAATGGCTGAGGGAAGGTGTTGCAAGGCCCAAGAAAGAGTTTGCAAAGGAGGCCAAGAAATTTGCTAACATCCGGCATCCAAATGTGGTTGGTTTGCGTGGCTACTACTGGGGCCCAACCCCACATGAGAAGCTGATCTTGTCAGATTATGTTGCGCCAGGAAGTCTTGCAAGCTTCTTATATGGTAATGCCATCATCTACTACTGATTACTTGTTTCTGCATATGCCTTGGATCCTACTAACGGTTCTTGCATACTTCATGTGCATGTCACACTAGTAGTTTCCTCTTACTCATAGACACAGAAAAATTCAGTCACCTACTCTGCTGAGATGGTTCTCTGATTGCACAGATCGACCAGGAAGAAGAGGTCCTCCACTGACCTGGGCACAGCGGCTGAAGATCGCGGTCGACGTCGCACGGGGCCTGAACTACCTCCATTTTGACCGCGCAATGCCCCACGGAAACCTCAAGGCCACCAACATCCTGCTGGACGGCCTTGACCTCAACGCCCGTGTAGCTGACTACTGCCTGCACCGGCTGATGACACAGGCCAGCGTCGTGGAGCAAATCCTGGACCTGGGCGTGCTGGGCTACCGTGTGCCCAGAGCTGGTGACCTCCAAGAAACCGTCTCCCTCGTTCAAGTCCGGCGTGTACGCCTTTGGCGTTGTGCTTCTGGAGCTCCTGACGGGCAGGTGCGCCGGGGATGTTGTCTCGGGGTCTGAAGGTGGTGTTGACCTCACTGACTGGGTCCGGCTGCGGGTGGCAGAAGGACGGGGATCCGACTGCTTCGATGCGGCCATGGCCTCAGATTCTGAGAACCCACAGGCTGTGAAGGGCATGAAGGAGGCCCTGGGCATTGCACTGAGGTGCATCCGGCCGGTCTCCGAGAGGCCGGGAATCAAATCTGTGTATGAGGATCTTTCGTCAATCTAGTTAGCTAGCCTCATTGCGTAGTTTTAGATTAACACTGCGTGTTAAAATGTGTGCGTGTTCTGTCTTGGACTCATAGAACTGCGTAGCAAATCCAACTGTTATTATGGCCTCACCTTGATGCCAGCAATTTGAAATGAAGTGCCTCATCGGTTGCCAAAGTGTGATGTTTCAGTGTTTTGTGCAATATCCTTCTTTTTTGCAATGATTTTGGTACTAGTGTAGTACTCGTATGAAAGAACATTTTTTGACATGAATTCATGACTTCCTTTGGTAACTGATGATCGCAGATGCATATGTATCCGAACAATGATGTAACAATTTGTTACAAGACAGGAAAAAAGGGGGGGAAACATCCTATTGAAGGGAATCTTACTGTTATTAGAGGCATGTTTAAATCACCTTTGAATTATTAGAATTTCGCTGTGGATGGGATTATAACAATCTTAGATTATGGATTATTAGTCGTCAACCCGTGCTCCATCACAAACTAGAATCCTGTGTTACATAAGTATTAAAGCTTTTGTGGCCCAACTAATAAAAAATGAACATTTTACTCTTTTTCTATTCATTTTTTACCCAATGGTCCTGTTAAACCCATTTGAAAAAACAAGTTTGAAACACTGCTTAAAATTTGATTTGTTGTGAGAGAAAACACGGTTCCGGTTGAAAAGATAAGTGAAAAGTACGGATCACAAGACAAGCAAACATGACCATTAATTAGATACAGTGTATTCTCCATCCAGTTATGATAAATTTACTAATTACTTTGTTTTCATCATTTATATTGCACCTTTGCGAGCTTTAACACTTAAGTCCCTTGACGTCCAGAATCTGATGTTTGCCTAGCCCAAGCAATTCTACCATGGGCCTTGCTAGCGTTTGATGGACAGACGAGCGTCCACCGGACGCTTTGTGCCTATAGCTGTTTTTCACGTAGTTTCGCGCGTCCACGTGGGGCTCATGTCGTCCCGAACGTCACCAGCATCGAGAAAGAGAAAGAGAGGGCGGCAGATGCCGAGCCAGCACAGGGAGGAGAAAACAACAAGAGGCAGCAAAAAGCGAGGAGGGAGATGCAATTGTGATCTACTTTTGAAACATCTAGATGCAATACTTGTAACATATGTCTGAAGACAGACGAAACACTTGAAACAAGCGTAAACACTTGTGGAAAACGCCTAAAAAACACTTGAAAATCATTGCAAACATATACAACATCTAGATGAAACACTTGCAAACATGCATATGAAAACACCTAGAACACTTGAACATATGCTTGCAACATGCATGTGTATGTCACATCTAGATCTACTTTTGTAACATCCAGATAAAACACTTGAAACATATGTCTGGAAAAGATAAAACATTTGGAACATACACTTGAAACATACATGTATAGCCATTATAACATGTTCAACATCCCGATCTACTTCTGCAACATCAATATACAACACTCGTAACATACCTCTGAAACATCTGAAATACTCAGAACATACTCTTGCAACATGCGCTTTCAGCGTAGCATTTACTTGCTACTTGGATGAATGGAGGCTCGTCGACGCGGAGCTTGATGCCACAGAGTGGGGGAGATACCAGTGGCCCAGCGGGCGGGTGACTGCGCGGCCCCGGCGGGCCATTCTCGCGCTACTTTCCACGGTCGTCCGCACAGGTGCAGCCGGTGCATGCGACGGGACCGCCCGAGCCGCCGTTGGGTCCCGCGGCCGTGGATCTCATCCGCCTTGTTGATGAGCTCCGGGAGCAGGAGTCCCGCCTCTGCACCGAGCTGCTGGAGCACAAGATCCTCAAGGACACCGTCGCCATCGTGCCATTCCTCGAGACCGACGTCGCGGCTCTAGGCCAAGAATGTGCGCCTCCGCGCCTAGCTCGATGCCGCCAGGACCGGCCAGCAGCGGGTGGTTGAGATGGAGGAGGAGGTGGCGGAATCATTTTCTTTTACTTTTAGAGAAGCCGGAAGCAAGCTTTGTATTGGGCTCCACAGGTCCACGAAGGACGCGTTCGGAGCGTCGGACGCCCGAGGAGAGCATTACCGTTCTACCGTATGTCCTCCTCTTTAAATAGGGAGAGACGGTGAGATTTGTAGCAATTAGCATCTACCAAGCTAGAAGCAGGTTGTTTTACTTGTTTTATGTCAATTTTTGTGACAAATTTTGCTGAAATTTAGATTGAATATGAATATTTAAACTGCTCATATTTAGTCCAGATCCAAACGACGTCTAAGTACCCTACTCGCTCACTTGGTAAATTTGATAATTCAGACCTATACACTATGACCTTACGGCAACTGCTAGAAAAAGCGTTCCTTCAAAAAATTGCTAGAAAAAGCGTCCAAGGGGGTTGACATTTCAAACTAAAAAAAAAAGGTCAACCAGATCGATCCTATCGGCCCGGCCAAATCGAGCTGCGGCCCAGCCACATCGGGGCTCAGTGACATCGGTCGACGGCGCGGCCACTGGCGCACGTCCACATCGAGGAGGGGGGGCGTCAGGGAAGGCGGGTGGGGGTGGCTCCGAGCGCCGGCGCGCCGTGAGGGCGCAACCAGGCTGCCAGCCACAGTTGGCCAAGTTCCAGCGGCTCCTGCGCTGCTGGTTGCCGCAGCCTGCAACAGTAGCGCAAGCACAGGCGGAGGTGGATAGCTGGCCAGCAGCTCTTGGCCTCCTGCGCTGCAGGACAACAGCACACCACGCCCAGCCACAACAAAGCTAGCAATCAGCAGGTTGTTCACTTGTTCGTTGTTCCCAACTTCTAAATATGCAACGTTGAATGTTTATTCAGTTTCCAAATTTTCCACAGTTCTCAGTTGTTTGTGCCTATGTAGCAGACTAGCAGTAGCTACTTGGTTGTTTTACTTGGCTTTTTAGCAATTAACAAGCAGGTTGAAAGGGCCTTCTCAGCTACCTCCAGAAAGCAGGAGTGATATGTTATGAACCAATTGTTAATTTGTTTACTGATTGATGGTATACTTAGGTTCAGACCACGTGCTAACTTTGATAAAGATAGAGAGGTGAGGATGAACCAAATCATATTAGGCATTTATTTTGTATCGCCTTTTGTTTTTACCAAGTTCATTGTATAATTAAGCATGGAATTTATATATCTACTAAATTATGCATTTTATCCTTAGATTTGTGATTATTCAGGCGCTTAGATAATGGCGCTACGTGGGCTGGGTTTGGATTGTTTAGGCGCTTAGATAATGGCCCTAGACGTCATGATTCACTAGGTACCAGACTACCATTGCTAATGTTTGGGAATATAGTCGGTAGGAATTGCAATCAAAGTGTGCAGAATGACTTACACCGACCGGGAATATACTAGGTAAGATCTCATTAGATCTGAAGCAACAATGTATGTACTACTCTACTTGTTTAAAAGTGTTGACCCGTAAAATCCTTTTGTTTTCTATCATATCACTGAGGCATCTCAACAGATTGGTGGTTATGTGATCTGCATTATTGCCCCCATTTTGATTAGTTTAGTTGTCTGCCCAATTGTTCAAATTAAGTAATGAACTTGTTTTAAATGAAGAGTTGACCTGTGAAACCTATTTATCTTTTCAGCACGGAGATAAAGGCATCTCATCGGATTGGTGCTAAAGTTATGTATAACAAGGCACAAGCATCACACATAGAGATGCACCCAAATGCTCTGAATCCTCAATACCAGCAAGAAGCGATGAATCGAGTTGATTATCCCATCGATAGCTAACAAAAAAACCCCTTAAATTCCCAACTCTATAGAGGCCAGACATCTTCTTGGCATAGATTGAACCGAGTTCTTCCATCCTCCTATTGGTCACAGGCTCAGGGCCACCGTGCCAGCAGCTCTTGTTCTTCAGGAGGTCCTCGCTAGTCGCTACCACGCATGGTACGCAAATCAACATCATCATCCATTGTTGCTGACCTCTTCCTTCGTCTGTTGCCTTTATGCATGTTGAGTTCCTGGTCATCAACCTCTCCATTTCATTTTCCTCAGAAGCTCTTTCTCAGGACGATGGTAAAGGGGAGGAGGTCCAAGAGACGGAGGTCCCCGGCGGCCAGCCTCACCGATGACCTTGTCGTCGAGATCCTTTGCCACCTCCCAGCCAGATCGGTCTGCCGCTTCAAGTGCGTGTCCACGACCTGGCGAGACCTCATCTCTGCTCACAACAGAAAACTCCCCCAGACCCTGGCCGGCATCTTTACCATGCACGACGCCGAGAACATGATGGGGTCAGTTCCACATTTCACCAATGTTTTGGGTAGAGACTGCCCATTG